TGTATAAGCCATGAAAAAAATATTATGTATATGATACATTTGGTGTTATATATGAGTGTGAGAGAGGGAGAGGGAGAGAAAAAAAATACTGTCAGAATGGTTATTCTCAGAATGAATATATGTATATCACAGATAAGATTCAGTCTTTAATGCTAACATTTCACATTTTATTACCTTAGACAGCTGATCTCGTTCTATACATTTTTTTTTTACTAGATTTGGAACATCAAGAAGCAAGCTGCCATTCTAAAAGTGATTGAAAAAGAGAAACACACTTGTCAAGTTCCAATATAAGCAACTGTATTTGTGATAATGATTCCAACTTTCTAATACATAAATAAAATACAAATATTGATCGGGTTGATGCTTAGATCAAAAATAGCAATAAAAAGATATCAATCCTCTCATACTGGTCAGCTCAAAAATATATTAACAGTAACTAATTTCCCATGAATATTTCAAACAGTTATATTTTTCTAACTGCACCAGGAAAGTTTTTTTCTAACATACTCTACTGTGAAGAAAAATTCAGATGTGGCATAGATATTGCCTCAAGGAATATCCCATCTGTCTATATTGGGCACCTTCATGGGGCAGAGCACTTCAGGGGCACCCTTTATTAGTTATTGGGTGAGTTCACCTGAGACTCTTAACTTAAAAAATTGGTACAAAACTCAATCTTGGTTTGCTCAATAAGACAACATTCCATAATATACTGAATATTAATCACACTGGATGGAATCATATTAATTACAATACTAAAATATAGTTGACCAATTTATGGTGCTGTACGTTAAGCTAATATAGCCTGTGAATCCAAATTCCGGTTTTACTTCCAGCATGATCAGCTGCCTGGGTCAGCTATGAATATGTCCAAAAATTCTATGCAATGCTGAACAGATCTAGGAGTCTACTTCAGACTCCTAGCCTGTTTGCATGTTTTTCTTCCTAACACAGAATTAGTGTTCCAGAAAGACAAGATATGCAAGGGAAGTGAGAGTAGTTCAGGGACACCACCTTTAAAGTGATTATTGCATAATAAAATACCTTGCATCAGCATCAACCAGGCATTGGAATTTTTTTATGGCACTCCCTCTGCTCTTAGCTTTGCTGCAAAAGCTAGAAAGACTTGTACAGGTAATGATCCTCAAAGGCAAGATTGGCGAAAAGACGCCATGTGTCTCCAGGGGAATGGCAGTTGTCTTTTGTAATCTACAATATGGGGTCACAGGGAGCCAAACATGGTGACAAGGCTCTATAGGGCCCAATTCCCAGCTTCAGGGAGATCTAATAATGGGATCTCCCTATGTTCCTACTAGGAAAAGTCAAGTCCCCCACCTTATTACGTACTCACATGCATCAATTATCTTAAGTATTACTCCAAGGTCTTCTCCTTTTCTGAGGAAGTTTTATTAGACTCAAGCTTTAGGCCATGCTATGTCAGATTACTCTTTCTCCCATAATAGCTTCCATGCTAACCACAGTCTGTGGAAAGTCTTCAGTTTTACCTTTCTATTTTCATCATTCTTAAGCCCAGCCACACAAACATACTGTCAACACTGTAACGATCTTGGCTGAAGCCATTTTTTCTTAGTTTTCAGTTGCCACAGTACTGGGAAGGGGGATGAGTGGTTTTAAGGTTAAACAATAATTTGACCCATGGGAACAAAGGTCATAGCTGCCTGACTTTTGGCAGGCTGAGCCTTCTGTTAGAAAGTATTCTATTGAGGAATGTGGATAATTACATAGTGCTGGGGGTGGGAAGTTCAACTTTGTAATATTGTAATGCTTGGGAGGGAACTCCAGACTTGGTTTCACTTTTGACTGTGCCGATACTTTGTAGCCAATAAACATGTTCTTTAAGAAAACCTCTTGCCTTGGAGTTCTGCTTTTACTGGTCTCATCTATCGAAACCATGGCATAGACACTATCTGCTCTTTTAAGAGGCGTTTTACTTATGCAAAAGGTAAACTGCTTAGGGAGGAACAAAATCTTATCCAGTCACTGTAGCACACAAAAGAAAAAACCCTTTTTGAAACCAGCTGCACTGGTTTCCGGTTGATTTCAGGATACAATTAAAGATGTTTCTTACAACTTATAAAGCCATTCATAGCACAGGGGTGCTTTACTAGAAGGATCACCCATCTCCAATTATCTCTGCCCATCCTATAAGATCAGAGGGGGTCTGCATGCTCTCAGTTCTTTCAGTTAAACAATGTCATCTCATGGGATCCAGGAAGCATGCCTTCTCTATTGTGGTGCCTACCCTCTGGAACAGCATATTGCACAAGATAAGAAAAATCTTTCCAGCTGGTTTTTGTAAAACTTCAAAGACCTGGCTCTTCCTCCAAACATTTAAACCAGAGTGTTGGGAGAGACCATCTTTTGTATTTGCATGTTATTTACCTGAGTATGATGTTTGTCCACCTTTCTTTAATCTTTGCTGTTTAAAACTTTTGATGTTTAATGAGTTGCCTAGAGTCATAGACAAGTGGCAGCCTAACTCAACCAAACAACCTAACTGAAACACCAGTTGGGCTGGTGTCTTCCTTCTGCAAATGGCTAAAATGAAAAGCTCACCAGCAAGACTTGGTGCAAAGAGCCTACTTCCGCTGAAGCTCCCTTATAAATGACAATTTCTGCCTTTGGTTCTAGAGGTCCGCTATCCCCATCATGATGCTAGTATTGGCTTCTGCCTTTGATAGACTATGCTCCAGAAATATTCTAATCCTCTTTTAAAATATCTAAGATAGTTGTGCCAGTCAATTACATAAATTAATGCATAATGTGATTTTTCTCCTCCTGATCAATTCCACCAGAGACCTCCACATTGTAGACTTACAAGCCAGCAAGGAAAAAAAGGCTCTCAATCCATTGGCCCATATTTTTGATTATCTGATGAACCCAAATTTTCAATTCTTATATAGAGAAAAATCCATTCTGATTGCTATATTTTATGCAAATATATATACATACACACACACACACACACACACACACACACACACACACACACACACATATATATATATATATATATATATATATATACATACATACATACATGTATGTATGTATGTATGTATGTATATGTATATGTATATGTATATATATATATGATTTGTATGGGAAATTGTTTTTATTTATTTATATATTTATTTTGCCATTTCATTACCCAATTATCCAGCCTGGGAAGATCATTTCCAAGCTGTTCATAGTTGACTTACATTTTCATTACAGTATTCTGAAAAAACTAGGGATTAATTGCAAATAGACCATCCATTGTTCATTTCTATTTCCTGATCACTTGTGAACAACGCCTCTTATCTCCTAATATGTATTCTTGAAAGTCCCCACCGATTATTTTTCTCCACTGCAAGAATTATCCTTTTCTTTCTACCTTCTGTTTCTTGTGATTTTCATTAATGTGTAATAGGATTGAAAAGCTATTCAATTAGGTTGTTAATATCATCATCCAGTTTCTCTTTGTTTACTGAGTTCCTGACTATGTCACAGTTAACTGATCGATAGAAGGGCTAAAAGATTTTCCGATCCTTTTGGTATCATTATCTATTTTGTTTAAGTAAAGGTTAATAACAGTTTTAGGATTTATCTTAGTAAGAGACAAACAACATGAGGACAGCATGAGTGAAAGCTGTACTTCGTTCAACCCTGTCACGTTAGCTAAGAAAGCAAATATATTCTCTTTTTATTATAATAAACTGATAGTTAAATATATATTCACACCAATAGCTGGAGCACATAGAATCTGCAGTAATTTTACTTATTGTTTACATACATAGAGAAACTAATCTTCAGAGAATCTAATGCTGATGTCCTCTAAATTTCTGAATATTTGGAAAACATATTTAAAAAAAAACAATTAAAATTCTTGGAATATGAGTTTCAGTTTCTCCAGAGCAGAACTGATAGGATGCTAGCTCATTGGATTAGATCAGCTCCAATCCAAAGATTGTACACTTCTCTTTATTCACAGCTTGAACGTGGGCTTGTTGTGTCGGAATAAGTCTACCAAACCCAAACAGATGAATGTACTTCAGTACTTGGAGAACATTTTATACTCATTATGAATGCAATGCAACACCAAAATATGTCCCTAGGACCAAAATATCAGGTGAGGACATACTATAAGCAAGGTCCTTTGCATTTTAAAATAAAAATCTAGAGTATTGAGAACTTAAGAACACAAAGTAAAATCTGTCATTCTAATCTAAAATAAGAAATAGCTGAGTAAAGAAATGTCATTAATTATCAATCCTCTAAGTATGGATCTAGTGAATGCAAATCAAAGAATCTGTTGGTGCCAGGATAAGAATTGTTGCAGGAATTTGGATAAGATGGTCAACATACTTTACATCTGATATGGCCTAGGGTAGCATTCTCCGGATGGAATGGATTATAAATTCCAGCATCCCCAGCCAGTTTAAGACTTGTAATTTAGCATACCCAAAGGACACCTGTATACAGAAGACTGCTCAATGTCAATCCTTATTATCATAGAATTCCAGAAACGAACTTCACTAAAGATAATTGTAAGGTGAGAAGATACAGAGTAGTAGATATGCAGATGAAACCAACACTGAGGTCATAAGTAAACCAGATCTTCATGCTAATCACTTCAGCCATGCTTACACTGGAAAATATCTCAGGTTTCTAAAAGCTACCACAAACTGCCTTGCCACCACTCACAAAACAGCAAAGACATCTGTGTTCATCTTAGAAGTAAGTGGAAGTAAAACATAAAAAGAGAAATAGATGAAAAGAAAACATCAGATAAACCTCCCCAAATGTTATGACCTAAGCACAAAATTCATCACTGTCACAACTAAGGGACCATACATTCTGGCATGTCATGAGCTATCCATGATTTGTGTCATTGCAGAGGATGATAAATCATTGCTAGGGACATAACAACCAGCCTCATCACCACAACATAATAGATCATGATATATCAAGTTCTTCTTTGAAATATTACTTACAGTTAGTAGGGGGCTGGAATGGCAACACAAAGCTGATATTAATTTTGCTTCTAATGTGCCAATGTGTGCAGCCGGATCCTTGCCTTAAGAGGCACAGAGATCATGTTTTGCAGTTGTAATAAGAGGCATCTGTAAGGAATTTCATGTCAATCAGTATCTATAATAAAAGTGGAGAGAACTAAAACTACATAATATTAGTAATGCTGCCTTCTTAACTCTAATTCTATATTATAATATGATTATCTGTTTCATCCAAGGTGAAAGAAGTATATCAAGTACTCAAACTATGTATACTGAGAGAAATTGTGTTTTATTTTATTTATCCTATTTGTCTAGCTGCCCACCTCACAAAAAAAGTGACTGTCCAAGGATCACAAAAGTGAAAGAGTTAAAATGTGTGTCATAAAGAAGATACTCTCTTATAGTCTGTTACTAAATAAGACTGACATGAGTTATATTTCTTGGTCTGATGCATGCAAAGCAAATTTTGTTGTGTTTGTTTTATTGCAGAACATACACTAGATCAAATACCGTATCACCTAGAACAACTATATGCTTATCAACATGTCAGTATCAAAATATTTCACCCATTTTCTGCAGGCTTTTGGGATTTAATTTCCAGGAACTTATCTGGACCAAAATTTATTATAATTCTGGCTTCTAGTTCCTATCTACTTCCTGGTATAAAGGATGCATAAATGTATTGCTATACTGAAATTTTATGAACATGGTATATTTTCCCTTATACCAGAATCATTCTAACCTTTCATTAGCATGACACCTTCTTGAAGATTCTCCCTACTGATAATCTTTTTGTCCCCAAGAATTATCCTGATTTATAATTTGAAGTACAATTTCCAACCTAAGATATTTAACATTTCCACAACAACATTGCTAGGAACATATGCCGCTTTTTATATGCCTAAATTTATGTTAACTTTTCCTAAAGGAATTATAGTTGCATTGCACAGTACAGTTTCCTGTGGAATCTTTAACGCTCTTGTCATACATAAATCTTTAAAGCATTACTCACATATTAAGAGGACCACTAGAAAATATGTTGGAACAATCCGGATTAAATAAAAGTGCAAAGAGAAATTATGGACAATGGGAATTTGTTAACAGAAAAGAGTTTCAGGAAAAAGTCACTGTTTTCTACATTTAGGGAAGTGTGTGAGAAAGAGATTAATAAGCTCTTCATGCAGAAGGAAGCTGCAAAAAATGTGCTTCAAACTTTTCCCCATTATTTGCTATATTTGTAATAATATTTTTAATTCATTCACTTGTTCATTTTTTCCCCTCTAGGTTGGATAGAATTATGGCTCAGCACATGCTACCACCGTGCTTAGTTTTACAACTGTAAAATTCAAAGCAAGGAAAGGGAGCATTTCAAGTTCTCAGTGCTCTACATTCCAGACACCCAAGATCTGCTCTGTCAGCAGATACATTTTGAATTTTCTTCTCTTGGAAATGCAAGCTGAAATATTCCTATGGAAGAATCTGGACTGGATCGTTTTGTTCTGGGTTCAGAATAAACTGAGTTTTTTGTTTTGTTGTTTTGTCTAGCTTAATATAAGAAGGAAAAAAGGCAATGGTTACTGGATTTACTCTCTGTAATGAAATTTGGGGAAAGCGGGTTTAAGGGTTGACCCAGAGAGAGTTTTTTTTAATCACAATTAGTAATAGCAATAGCACTTAGACTTATATACCGTTTCACAGTGCTTCACAGCCCTCTCTAAGTGGTTTACAGAGTCAGCATATTGTCGTCAACAATCTGGGTCCTTGTTTTACCAATCTCGGAAGGATGGAAGGCTGAGTCAACCTTGAGCTAGTCAGGATCGAACTCCTGGCTATGGGAATACCACCATGGCTCAGTTGTTTACTATGTTGCTATTACTTGGGAAAGAAGTACATTTGGAGTTACTTTGGATAGTGAGATGGATGGCGTATAAATTTAACAAATACATTAATTTATCTTTCCATTAAGATGAATACAACTTAAGGTACGGAAGAGCCAAGATAAAATGTTTCTAAATGAATCAATGGTTTCAAACTGATTTACATACCAGACCTATTACTTGCAAGAGTCCTGAAAGAGCTTGTGGCTGTCATCCTGGTGTCCCTTTCTGTGACCTTTGACAAATCATATAGGACGGGTACAATACTAGAGGACTGGAAAAGGCATTTTTTTCTTCCTATCTTCGGATAATGGAAAAAGAAAACAGACAACCATAGACTGGTTATGTTATGTTGAGATTGATCATGGAAAATTTTTTGGAAGAGATGATCAAGCAGTTGGTTTGTGAGTATTTAGAAAATAATGCATTGCTTGGCAGAAATTAGCATGGGTTTATGCCAACAAACCCAATTTCTTTTTATTAGAGCGATCAATTTAGTTGACTACAGGAATGCAGTGGTTATAGTGTAGCTTGATCTCAACAAAGCATTCAACAAAAGCACTTCTCATGGTTCAATAATGTTGTGTTTTACATAGTTCTAATTAATAAAACATAGTTATGTTTGACCATGTAGTCTTAGGAATATACAGCTACTGTATTAGTAGGATTTTAAATTAGCTATTAGTAGGATTTTAACCCATGGTCCTTATGAGACACTACATCCATTTATAAATCTTTTTGAAAGTAAGTAAATGGTAAATAGTACCATAAAATATGTACAATCACTTTGTAAAACAATAGTTAAAATATTTTTAGTAATCTACTTATAGAAAAAAGGGAGTTGCTTTATACATTTTCATCTGTAGAATTCAAATGGGCACACATACAAGCATTCTTTTGATTTCCAGATTTCACTTTCTAATTGGACACAAACCTTCACTAATGATACTGCTTAAGACTTCACAGTCCTAATTGTCTACAGTCCCTCACTTGTTTTCCTCTAAATTATCCATCTTTTGTTCAGATCCATGAAGTTTAATTTTTATTCCCTTCACAGAAATATGGAGAGCATCCAGCTTTTGTTTTATGTCATGAAGAGCAGAATACCAAAAAAAAAATCTTTGCTTCATCGCCCCAGACTAAATTTAAAACATAAGGTACCAAAATCTACAGTTTCTTGTCAGTTCAGTTGACTATATTACACTTACAAACTTCTCTTGTACATGATCAGATTGCTAAAAAAAAAACAAAACCAAGTTTCACTGACTTGAAAATAGCCTTTACACTTCAAAGCTGTTATTCCAGTAACTTTGTGGCAGTCCAACATATTCCAACATACGTGGATGACTGCAACATTGCATCAAGCAAGATGAAACTGAGATGGTGTGCTATTGCCTATGCAATTTCTTTAACCAGGAGTCCAGGACTAACCATCTGCCACGTCAATTAATTTGATTCTTTCACAATAAGTTAACAACCTTCTAATACATATCTCATTTATTTGCCACAATATCTGTTATTATAAAACACTGATAAGAATGAAGCAGCAGTTATTTATCATTATTAATATATATATAAAACAAAATCTACTTTTTTCTCTTAGTATCCTTATTTACATGGAATCCATTATAATTATTTGGGTAGCTATACTGCCATATAGTTTTATATATACCCATAAAGGTGCATATTTCAACAATATATCCAGTATTTATCCAAATGTTCCAGTTGTTAAAAGTATTAGGTAAAACAATCAAGAACCTCACTCTTGAAAACAAAGTCATGTTTAAGTTTTAACTGGAATAGTACCTGCCAAATTCCAAATAGCAGAAGAGGGCAGGTCAGAAATAAAAGGAACAAGAACAAGACCAAAATAAAATTAATTATAGTTCCTAGGATGACTCCCCATATAGGCAATGATTTTATTCCTTCTGTCATGTTAAAAATCTGCAAATCAGGGATAAATTTTTGATAGGTTTTTAAAATTACACCAATAGTTTTTGAAGATCATTTGATCTGCTGATTTAGTACTCCTGGCTAAATATATGGACATTAACTGAAACTGCAGCCTTCCACTTAGCTTTTAGGAATAAGCATCTTTAAACTTGGTGGAGCTTATTTTTTGAAGTGGTATTATGGACACGTGCACTGAAATGCTCCAGATCCCATTTCAATCACATTATTCGACAATCATAACTGCACCCTATTCTGAGGGTGTTTCAGAATAGAGAGGTTGGTACCTCATGTCACATCTATCAGTATCCATGGATATTGCAGTAGTAATCCATGACAGATATCGAGGAAATAAAAAGTACACTGTATACCAAACAGCTTTTTCCACACCCCCAAATAGTTATGCAGTTGCCTGTATCTATGGCAACTCTTTCTTTACTCTTCCTCTGCCTTCTCCAGGTCTACACAACCTTATTAAGGATTAAAGATTGGGCACATCTAGTATTATTTGTAGGCAGTTTAAGACAAGATAACATTCAATCATCTTTAATCTGTATCAAGCAAGCAATGTCTCCAATCTGGCTCTCTCCCGAGATTTTGGGTTAGGGTATCTGATGATGATGTAGGGAAAGTGTTTTATCTGTTTGCTCAGGATGGCTGCTGTCCTTTTTACATAATGTTGGTTTCTTTCTCTCTTTTTTCACCTGTGAAGCTACCAAGAATAATTTTGGAGATTGACACCTTACAAATTGGATAAATAAATTTAGAAATAAGGACAATAAACATTCCGAACTATAGTAAACATATAGCATATTTGAAATTGATTCTACATTTTTTTCAGGTGAAATTAACTCAGATATTTATGCAATCTTGGTAGCATAGAAGATTGGAATCGTGGTGCTATTAAATAAAAATGCTTGCCAGCTATTCTATCTGCAAATTGTGCAATCATGGATGATCTTCTAGGGGTCACACTATAACTTTTACTGTATCTCCCCTTTTCTTTATCTTCCTTTGCAATATTGTGATCCAAAGGTACATAAGCTGCTTTTGCTATGGCCACTCTGCAAGCATTGAAATTTTACTGGGAGTTCAGTATATTGCTTTTTATGCATGCAAATAAAATTATATTGTATCATCAAAGTATCTGGTTGTCTTAATTAAGTCAGGTTTTGGCCACAATGTTGGAAAGTGTGCTTAAGGTCAATTTTGTGAATTTTAAGAAAACTGAGACTCTCCTCTAACTTAACATATATACTTAATATATATTAAGGGAACCTGAATTGGAAGCAGATGAGTATGGTTTTGAAATTTTAAACATCAGTAACCTGCTTTGTGCTGATGACACTAGCCAGATAGCCAAAAACACAAAGGATCTGCAAATACTAGTAATAAAAATCAAGCAAAATGGGACTAAAATAAAATATATAGAAAACTAAATTAATGACAACCACAGTCTTAGAACTGATGGTGAAGATATGGGACAGGAGGAGGCATGGCAAAATGGAGATGCCTCCACAAAAGTGGAGCTGACAACTGCGGCAAAGGTGAGGATGGGAGATCACTACATGTGCTTCAGATGACTGATCTTCATGAGAAGATCTCAGGATGGCAGTCTTCTCTAGTCTGAGCTTATCTGAGCAGGTTTGAGTGCCTGGTGCTATCTTGCTTGCAACTGTTGGAGGGCCTTTTAAACTAAAGGACACAAGGTTTGCAAGCCTTACTCTCTAATCACTTTTCAGAAATGGCCTATTAGTCATCTTAAAGCTATTAGAGACCTTCAGAATGACAAATTTAAAAAGCCAGTGGGTGAATTTAGTCTTAATTATAAGAAAAATTAATTATAAGGACTTTAAAAATTAAAATAAATACCCACACACTAAATAAGATTTGATCTAAGAAAGTTATGAACAGATTAAGGGTCCTATAAATTTGGAATGTTGACTTTTACTATAAGATTTTGGAATTAACTATAAAAATAGCTACTCATGAGAACCAGATTAATTTTGGCTACCTTAGGTTATTGAAGGTTGTAACAAAGGTAAGTGACTTTATGGTTTTAGAAACTGGACTAGAAGACCTCCAAGGTCCCTTCCAGCTCTATTCAATTCTATGAGGATGGATGCAAGTTAAAAATAAAACTGGACATTAAAGATTCTAAGTAAAAGGGAAAAATATGAGCCTGCTTTGTACAATTTGTACTAGAATTTACAAACTGACACAAAACATCTTAACAATGGAAATACTAAAGACTTTTAAAAATGGAGCCAGAAATTAGAAGCTACACTATAAATAGCATCAGTAATGATGTCTGACACAATGGATAGACTATGTCCAAAAGATATTAATGTGAAGCATTGTTTTTCAACCTTCCCACCCACCTATTTCCCTTCATCTCTACCTTTTTGACACTCTGCACTCTGCAGCTCCTACACCTGTCTTCCCCATCACCCCAGCTGATCTTCACTATTGTTATCCTCCCACTATTGAAAAAGTGCATCCAGGTGAGGCAAGGGCTGGCCTTTCACGTTGCTTCCATAAAGGACAGAGATGGGGGAGCAGATAGGCAGATGGTGGGGAGCTGAAGTTGAAAAAAGCCCAGTAGAATGGCAGAGCCTCATCTTCTGAAGCGAGTTCTCCAGACATGGCCAGCTAGGAGGCAGAAGAATTGATCAGGCAATTCACACAAGGCAGAAGAAGCAAGAGATCCTCACCTAATAATTACACCTGGAATTTACTGGAACTGTCATTGCTAAGCAATGGAAAATCCAGTCTCAGAGCCGTTAAGTGAGGACCATCTGTATTATTCTCCAAAGATGTGTTTCCCTTATCAGAATGCAGAACCTGAGATTCTCCAATCCAATGATTTGCTGACTGTTGCAACATGATTTTTAAAACAATTGATTTTTCTCACCGATGAAATATGTGAATATATATCTGGAGAAGCTACCAATAGATATCAATCCCTCCTGGATATTTGGTCATGATGATTCCATATCTATCTTTTGAATCCTATCGACAGACTGTTGTGTCTTGCTTTTCTTTTCCTGAAAAAGAGGGGTTAGTTCACTTTCTTTTTTAAACAGGTTATAGATTTATTTTCCCTGTCATAAAGATCTAACTTCAGGTCTCTTCATAAATCCTTCTTCTCAGGTTAAGACACTGCATTCGAGACTGGATGGCCTTGTTTTTAACACCACAAATACGAACACTTCTTATATCAGGATTTTTTTGCTGATGTAGCCTTTCCATTCTACCGTCCACTTCATATAGGCCACTCTCCTTGACAGTCCCCTTCACAGAAAATTCAGCTCCATCTGTGATAAAATAATGGTGTTTTTCCAAGGTTACTTCATAACGGCACATTTCATTGGTATCAATCCAGCAGTTTGCACTGGTACATACAAAGCATTTTCAGTAATCAGTTGAATCGGTTTTCATTTTCTTCAGTTTGCTGTGCAGCTTTGTAATTCCTTTGCTTGTCTCTGCCTCCCATTTCTAGGAGGGGAATGAAAGTTTTGCAATCCACATGTAATTCAGAGCATTTCTCTCTTGTTAAATTAAATTTCTGGTCGTAGTAGAATCAGTGCAAATGTCTCATAATGCTTTTCAGAAGCAGTGCCAAAAATCACTGTCTGCCAGTTTTCCTTCTATTGTCCGGTGTTGCGTCATTCCTTGTGGAATGCAGCTTGACTGGTTTCTCATCAGCAGTTCCTTTTCTCTGGGTGCCCTTGATTTGCATATGCTTAGGATGACCACAGAGGTAGCAGCTTCTGTCTCTGGTTTTAGCTGAAGTCTCTTTGATCCCCCAGGATTTTCTCTTCAATACCTCTGATACTTTAAAATCATATGACCAGCTTATTACAAATTGTGAGTTTGTATCTTTTCTTATTCACCATTCACAATGCACACAGTTGCATTCATAATTGTTTCAAATGATTCTGGGAAGCTGTTTAAAGATAACATTTCTTTTGAACAGAGTTCAATTTTGGCGTCTTTTTTAACAATACAGACATGGCATGCCACTGCCATCCTCCAGCTGTATTTTTACTTTCCAGTCTCATCGACATCCTTTGTATATCCTGAGTGTCACACACAGAAGTACTAAAGAGGCCTGACCCTATTTAGTTTCTATGTCAGTGTTTCTCAACCTTGGCAACTGAAGTTGTTTGAACTTCAACTCCCAGAATTCCTCAACCAGCATGCTTCATGGAGTGGAAGTCCACAAATCTTAAAGTTGCCAAGGTTGAGAAACATTGTTCTAAGTCTACCCAAGGACAGACAAGCAGTGCCACTTACTGAGATCTGGGAAGCTATTTAATTTTAATCCAATTAATATTGCTTCATGTTGAATTACCCTTTGAACTTCAAGCAAGCATCATTCTCCAGCATTTATCTAGCATAAAATAGATATTCTTTTAGGAAAGGATTATTTTGAAAGCATGACAGGAGAAATGGCATTGACTGTATGAAAGGGCAATCCACTAGTCCATGAGCCAGCTGAAAAGTATGCCAGCTGAAAATTTACCGCCCCAGTGACTGAGCTCTTTTTTGCTTCAAGTAATGAGACTGGAAGGGATGGTGTCACTATAGTTTCACGTTAAGGAAGTCTATTGATGAATTCCCTTAGCTTTGTTTGCTGACCTGCTGAGCATCACCTGAGCAAGGAAAACAATCACCTGTCATTTTTCTTAACTTATGGGGCACATCTGAGTGCTTGGAATGACAGTTTTAGCAACCTGTCAACAGGTTGCAGGTGCTGAGGTCTGTCAATTAAACTACTTTGAAACATGGGTCTGGTGCTCTTCTGAAAGTATGACGGACTTGTATCTCAAAATAACCCTTTTGAAAGGTCCCAGGGGCACAGGAAGGGTGCAGGATCGAGTGGGAGGGCACACTCCTGAGGCATGGAGGAATTTCAAGGAGTTTTGGGGCTGCTCGCTACCACCACTCCATCTCACATCCCATCTTTATACCTGTGAGACAAGTTATCAAACATGGAGGGGCTGAGGGGTGATGTGTGAGGAAGATGTCTATAATAAACATAGCCAAGGAACTTACAAAAAGGTTGAACATCTCACAGAGGGGAAAGAATATTGTGTCCCGACTATGGTGCCTCCAGAAAATCAAAGAAAAATAGAAGAAAATGAAAGTGTGGTTTTATTCAATATCATAGCAGTATACCTATGTCCATAGATCTAAAACTATCAAATGAATCCATAGCAACGATACTCAACAATACACCCAATCTTGCCTAATACACTAATATACAAAATACACTGATTCATCAACCTGATCAACCTCTGTCTTACTATCTACTTTCAGTATGATGAAGAAATATACCGGCAGATCAGAGGAACATCATGGGATCATCATTCCTAGGACCCATAGCAGAGTCCATAGTGCAGCATCTAGAAATTACAGCAGTCCCACACATACAACCAAAGTATGGATTCAGTATGTAGATGAAACCTTTGTCGTAATAATAATAAAAAGGAACAACTAGATAATACACATGAAATCATCACCATCTTCAAAGAAATAACATTCTCAAGGGAAAAAGAAAACAATAGCTATCCTTCCTGGATATCCTAATAAGCAGAGGAAACACTGGCAAGTTAGTAATGTAAGTCTATTGAAAAACAACCCACACTAACCAAGTGCTCCATTACCAAAATAACAACCCAACCTCCCACATGTGGAACTATGTAAGAATATTATTCAGATGGGTACAAATGGACTTCAGCAATCATACAACACCTATACTAGAATTCCTCAACCTTTCTGGCTTTGCGGACTGGCAGAGGGGAGAAGGATGGGTCTGCATGAGTAGCAGGCAAGTGCACACAACTCCATTTGTGCAAGGGGCAGGCACACACACACGCTGCTCACATAAATGAACATGCATACACGTGCTTGTCCGCTGCTCATACAAGTGGGAATGTGCATGTGTGGTCACCACCCACCACTTTCGAATAGCTCAAGGCCTGGTAGTTGGCTGTGCACAGGGGTTGGGGACTCCTGACCTATACAACATCTTCCAATTAAATGCAACATGTGCCTGCCCATTCAACCCATTATAGCATGATCAACACAAGCTATAAAAAAGAGAAAACATGCAAATCAACCAAAACCTTCCAAAATATTTTAAGTAAGGCAAAAGACCGAATAGCTCAATTAAAAAAAAAACAGGAGTTATTTACAACATACAATATAACATCCACTGTAGGACACATAGGTAGAAGACTAGCAGAGTACAATCAATGAACACCATGTAGTACTCCTTAATCTTAGAACACATAGGCAAATTTAACATAGTTTCAGTCGAGAAAGTGTAAACATTCTAGACTAAGCTAAATCTGAAATCGCTAGGGAATCCTTGGAAGCCTAGCATTCAGACAAATCAGCCATCATAGACATATAGAGATAAAGCATATTTGCACACCATTCAAAAGAGACAATAAAAAAGCTAAGAAGGAAACAAAAAGACAAAAATATATCCTGCCCAGCAGGCAGCACCCAGATAAGTAGGGATTAACACCAGACAAACAATCAAGCAGAAACAATGAATGAGGGGTCCTTGGTGTTCTCTGAGGTTGATTGTTTTCTTGCAGACATTTCATTATCCAAACTAGGTAACATCCTTGGTGGTCTGAGAGAATCTCACAACTCTATACTACATGACTAGGCGGTTCTATCACCGATTTTTCTTTGCTTCTTTTCATTTTTGACCTTTTAAGGGCCAGAAAGGCAGCACATATTATGGACCCCCTACCTCTGTCATAAAATTTATTAAAGGAGAGGATACCAGGCAAAGTGCCTCCTGAAAGTTAGGAAATGGCAGCAGGAAAGAATAGGTAATGCCAAGATATGCAATCCTGAAAGTTTTTAGAGTAGAAAGTTTGAGATCTTGAGTCATTCAGCTACAGTGTCCATGACAGAAATTTTGTTAAGAGAAAAGGAGACATGAGGATAAGCCCATTGTTTTTCCTTTACAGATTGATTGTTTTACTGACCATCTTTGGAGATTTTTGGAGTTCAGTATCTTCATGTGCTACCTTGATTGTATTCCATAAGATGAAAATATAGACATTACTGGGGTGAAAATCTCTTTTTCTTCTCACCAAAATACAAGACTGCTTCTCATTTTAGTAGATTCCTGCACTGTTTTTTAACTTCTGAAACATCAGCAAACTAAATGGGTCAATTTAGCTTATCCACTTGCACACATTAGCTCAGTGGTTCTCAACCTGTGGGTTGGGACCCCATTTGGGGTCGAATAACCATTTCACGGGGATCGCCAAACAACGCAGTCCGCCATTTTTTCCCCCTTTTCCTTAGCTGTGCTACTCCCTTTTATTCTATTGGTTTTTGAAAGCCAATAGAATAGACTCTCTTGAATAGAGTCTAATTCTATTGGCTTTCAAAAGCCAATAGGAATTGTCCAGGCTGTCTCTGCCCTGCTGAGCCCACCAAAAGTCCCATTCTGCAAATGGTGCTGCACCAGTTGAGTAATCCTCGACTTACAACCGGTTGAGTAGTCCTCGACTTACAACCGATTGGGGGTCACGGCATTAAAAAGGTTGAGAACCACTGCATTAGCTGATACAGTTCCTCAAGTGTTGCATTGTTTTATTACCCAAAAACAAAATTTGGGGACAGTCTGATTGCTGTGTGATTGTAACCATGTTTATTCAGAGGTACATTACATGAATTTCAGTGGAACAATGGCAATTGTTCGATTCACCCCTGCCAAACCAATCTTGACAGATAACACTGATTGACTTTCCTCTCCAGCATATTGCATTGCTAATGAGGTGAGAAAAACGTTCTAAAGGCTTCCAGGCTGAGAGCCACAGAAGGTGGAAAGGTATTATAGGAGACAAACAAAAATGCTTTTAGAAGTATGAGCACAAGTTATTTCTAAATGTTTAAGAAAAACTTTTGTGGAACCTTAACAATTAAGCCATGATACAGACTATTTATTTTAACTTATATATGATATATTACAAGCCATTATGGTTTGTAAGACATGTTTTAAGCTTAACACAATAGGCATAAAATAAGTGGTTTTATTAGTATTAGCCTTTTAAAAAAGGAAAAAATAGGGGTCGTAGGGGTATACTTTTGTTATACTAGTCAAGATGTGTCCTGGATTTGTCTCAAGATCTGTCCCAAGATTTGTCCTAACTGAAAACAACAAATGCAGTTTATGACACAGATATGGCTAAGGCCGATCACCCTGTCCACACCTTATTTGTCTTAGAAAAATGCATTATGTGAGAAGGCTTATCAACCAAAAAGTCATGCGGGGAAGCAGGGGTCAATATCTGTGAGCCCATCTAGGGAAGATCATGGCATACAGAATTTTGGAATGTGGAATGAGTTTTAAAGAGTATGAATTATTAATGAAATGACAAAAAATGGGTGCCTAGGAGACTGAGAAAGGGTAGGATGGAACAAAGGTCACCTGATTGCACGGCATGGAGCTGATGAATGCATATAAGGAAGTGAAGTTGCAGATTTAATTATGAAAAAAAGGTCTAACCTGCTGTAGGTGCACTTGAAAGTAGGAATTCAAGGT